GGCCCCCAGCCCATCCCCAGCTCATGATTATTTTTAGGTCATAATCAGGATCATTTTCTTCATCTGCTTCTTCTTCCCCCTCCTCATCATCTGCCTCTTCACCTTCTTCACCCCCCGGCTGCCCGGCCCGGTCCAGCCACGTACCTGGAGGACGGGGACGAGCCTGCACAAACTCACCTGCCGGGAAGGGCCGACTTGGGCGTACACCGTCATGTACTCTGCTCCCGCCTCTGCAAGGAGAAAAAAGTGGAGGGTCAGCGAGGGAGCAGCCGGGAAGGGGCTGCGGTGGATCCCCTTGCAGGATCCGCAGTGCTGCCGGGATGCTGCTTCCCGAGGGCTGGAGGGAATCCCGGCTTAAAGTGTGCTGGGCTCGGGTGAAAGCCCAAGCAGGAGCTGCAGCACCCAGCAGCCCCTCGGAGCTGTTGGAGGTGTTTGCTGAGGGTCTGGGTCGAGGTGAACATCGCTTCTCATCTCACTGTCCCTCCTGCCCCGGCCGCTGTGGGAGCAGGGTGCTTGCTTCCAGCTCAAAGGGCAGCAGTTGAAGGGACTTGCTAGTGAAAAAAACATCTTTTTTTATTTAAATACAAGATCCCTGGCTGCTTTCGGAGGGCGATGTGCATTTGTCTCTCCTTCATACGTTGCCACCATTGCAGCAAGCATTAGCATCGGCTCATTCTTTGGCTCATAGAACAGAGAGGGGCAAGAGAGGACTTAAATCCTTCGTAATCCCATTTTTTGGTCAAAATTTCAGTGCCTCTCATTTGAAGCGTTGCTGCCGGCCCCACAGAGGAACAGCCATGCAGGCTTCAGCCTGTGCAGAGAGGAGCGCTTCGGGGAGAGGTATTCCCCATGGTTCCCAATGGAAGAGCTGGATCCAAATTATTTGCCGGGAGGAGCCCGTGGTCCTGGTGTGCTCCGACATCCCTCTCGGGCACACGTAAATGCAAAACACAAGGCAGGAACTCCCCCAGTCGTGTCAGTTTTATTTCAGCTTATAGAAACAGCAAGACACGCACGTTAAAAAAAAAAAAAAAAAAAAA